ACGGGAAAGCTGCAGATGAATTTGTTGGATTTTGGGCTCGCTATGAGTCCTTGAACAAATGCGCTTATTGAAACTTGAGAATAAGCTGTAGGATGAAATATTCAATTGATGCAAATTATCCTCTCTTTTCTTTTTACTAATATGTAAACCTCGTGTTTCGAATTATAATATGTTTTTTTAATTATCAAACTTTTTTTTATTCCTATAAAATATCCAACTTTTATAAACTCAAGTGTAATAAATTTTATTAAATAATATCTCATATTTACCGAAGGAAATCGATTCTAATCGTTTTATTTAACATAACAGTTATAAAAAGGAATTATTAGTTATTTTCCATTGATTGTTTATATTATCAACAACAATTCCATTGGAACCATTTTTATTTTCAGCTTTCATCTTGGTGCTATAAACCCAACAGACCTGAAATTTTTAAAAACAAAAAATGAGAATAAGGAACAAAATGGAACTCAGTTTTGCAAGTGATCTCATGACAGGTTAACTGATTCACCAAGTTTCCCAATTTTGTTAACGAGCTTGGTGGATAATTTCTTGGGAGGTTTCTTTTCCTTGTCCGGTCGGTAATCAAAAGTTAGAGCATTCGAAACTTCTTCGGAGCTCCATCCAGCCTTCCGGAGCGAATCTGAGAACCGGTCCACTTTTAAAAGGAGCGCATCTAGAACCGCTTGATTATCCAATAAAACCATCTCTTCTTCGAAAAATCCAGAGGCCGACACGTGTACCACCTCTGCTATATCGGACTCGCTCCACCCGCCTTCTCTAAGAACCGATCCGATTTGCTCCATGTAATCCTCCACCCATTTCGGAATTTTGGTTTTCGGAATATCGAAATACGTCTCGGTCGAAATATTCGATGATGAGTTTCTTCGGCGCCGATCAACGGCCGCCTCGCTCCAGAACTCGACCCATCTAGGGGCCCGAGTCCCGGTAAGGAAACCAGCATCCATACTAGTCCGCCTCGAGACGTTAGTGGACGACCCGGCTGATTTCTCACTAACTGATCTCTGTTTTTTCAACCATTCTGGGTCGGATAAAGAGCTCTGAAACAAATATTCCATGTCGAAAAAATTGGATATATCGAATCCGCAACAGAAAATCTGGGTCTCGTCAATGAAGAAAATCGGGTTACCCGCTAAAGATGGGTTACAGGGAATATAGCAGTGATTAAAAATGGGGATCAAAAGTGGAGCTCTCTTAAGCGCATTCCTTGCCACCCGTAAAGCCTTTTCCGGGTTGGAAGGTCTTGGTCGCCATGATTTGGACCATAACGTGTTACGCGCTATGTGAAAGGAAATTGCAGCGATGGGAAGATCAAGCAAAACCCGAAGATGGGGTCGTGCTCCATTGGACCGCCAATCGGGAAAACCAGGTCCCACGGGTAAACCGGCTGATAATATGGCTCGGAGGTCAGGTGGGAAACCAAAACCAAACTCGGCTTCCGCTCGAGCGAACTCAACGTCGGACAAGCCCGGTTGGACTTTGAAACCCGACTCCCGTAAATGGGTGATAACTTTATCCGCTAATGAAGAGAAAGACTGAAGACCGTTGCGAACGGGGAGCGAACCCGTGGTTGAAGGAGCGGAAGCACGAGCAGAGAGACGGCGTAAGCCTGCTATGTGGGACGGGTTCAGACCGGACATCCTACGATCTACGTCGACCATTATTGCTTGAATAAGTTACAGGCGGTGGTTCTCCCACTTCCCCTCGAAACGCTGTCGAAAATAAGAGGGAAAAAAAACAGTGAGTTTTGTGACTTGGTTTATCAGATAGAAGTGAAGTGAAGAAGGCGAGTGAAGTTAGGGGCTTAATTTTGTGTAGAGAAGTCTTCGAGCGGTGGACTGATGTCGTTTATATAGGTGCTTCAACGTTGGGGCCTACTTTTGAGATTCTGCAACTGTTTTCTTTAACAATATGTTTGAAAATTTATTTTTCTGATTTTTATTAGTTTTTTTAGATTTCAAAGAAATATAATTAATTAAAAACTCAATAATGTTAAATATCTGAAAAAAATAAATTAAAAGTAATTTTAAATTCATCAACATTCAAAGATGAGTTACGGGGAATAAAGTTTAATTTATTCACAAATATTTAAAGAAATTCAATCTTTATTATTAAAATAAGCATTTAACAAATTAATAAACTTAAAATGTAGTTATTAATGTAATATCTATCATAGTTATGTTATATTTCATAAGTTTCATGTTTTCAATATATATATCAGTTGGTAAAGCACAAGGTTCTTATCCTTGAGGTCGTGAGATCGAATCTCATGGAGGGCATTTCATAATTTGGAGGTCTCCTACGGAAGCTGCTCTCAACCTAGTATTGGGGGCAGCCTATTATCTTACCTCCCTTTACCCATTATATAGGGGAACAAGGACAACCATTTTATATTAAAATTCAACTAATTATATATAATTTTTAGTTCGTCTGGTGAAAATGTAGCAAAGAAGGTAAAATGTTTTCGTCATTTGATTGGAAAGATCATTATTACTATTATTATTAATCTAATAGTGGAAATATCATAATTATTCCTATAAATACAATAAAAGCACTGCGTAAGAAATAAAAAAATGGGCAATTTGACAGAACCACGTGCATATGTAATATGATTTGATTACTGTGGAAAATATAGTATTTTAAGAAACGAAATCAGATTTGATATCCTTAACCATCAATTTTTAGCTTTATACGATTCCTTAATATAATCCGTTTAATTAGAAGAAGAAGAAAGGTTTGCTCTTTTGTCCAAGTCATTGTTAAATGCAAACCTGTTGGTTGGGTCGATTTACGGCCCCTTTTGCAATCATGAATGAGCTTGGCAATCATATTCACACTTTGTTCTTAGTTAACATTTGTAAACATTTTTGTTTTCCCCCCTTTTCGGATGGGTGTGAGAATTGAATTATTATTTTATCGATTACTTTTCAGTGATTATAAAATTATATATATTCATAATCTTCCTTAATTATTGACAATTCAGATATATTTTTTTTTGAAAGAAGGTACTTTGTATTATAAGGGATTACAAAGTACATCACCTCAAGGACCTCATTAAAAAATTTCTCTAATCCTAAATGGAGAAAAAAGAGTGTACTATTGAGGTGGTTAGGAACAACAAACACAAAAAAAAGATCACACAATTCAAGCCCCAATAATACTACAATCCCCCGGCAGTACATACATAAGTCAAACCACACAAATCATGAAAATAAATAGAGAACTGAAAACAGAACAAGCACAAACAACAACCCATGGAACGAAACAACACCTCCACCATGGCATCACCCGCAACCATAGCTAGAAAGAAACCAAGCACTGGAACCTTAGGAACTCACTTAACTAAAACTGATCCAAAGAAGAAGGATGTACTTGAAGCTCGATATACAATAGAGCAAAGCAGGCAAGAAGATAAGCATCGATTGCTAGCAGAAATGCAGAAAAAATAACTCCCAAAATGCACAAGCTGCCAGAACACGGCAAGGACAAAAGCATAAAACCAGAGATCAAAAACTTCCGCATACTGCCTAGCTAGCCCAATTCAACTAAACACAACAGTCGAAACTGAATTAAACACCACAAAACAACTTCTTCAAGATTACTCACAACATCAATCACAACTAGAATCAAAACAACGACAAAGGTAAATCACCCAAACCCCAACCTGCAACTAACTAATTTCACTAAGAATCGAACCTGTGAATTGTAAACTTTCCTCATCCCTGCAAATACTACTCCCAAAACATCAGCAAATGCTAAATTCTTCTCCACTTCATTTGTATATACAATTGTTTGAATTTAAAATCTATAGAGAAAATAATATTTTCTTTAATTATTAAGATCACTCAATAAGTGTAATAAGAATTGAATATAAGTTTTTTTTATGTATTTAAACGATAATAAACTTGATATATATTATATAATCTTCCTTTAACCGCGTTGCCATTATGTTTCATAAAGTTGTTGAGGAGTGTTAATTAGGAAACGTGAGGGAAACCCCTCGTGCTCGTGTTATAAGCTACCCATCCCAAGACTCGATTGCAACATGCAAACCAAGCTATCGTCCGTTTTATTTATTAAGAAATCCATTCTCTTAAAAGCATTCTATGTTTGATGAAATTTATTTCCAAAGGTACGGTTTTTGTTGCATTGAAAACCGTATTACTAACATCACAATAACGCCCTATAAATATTTGTTTATAAAATATTTTAACATTTGAATATTTCTTTATATTTTAGAATGGTTTTGTAGTATTTTTTTTATAATTTTTATACTAATTCTATAATATTTTAGATTTTTTATTTGTTGAGAAACTAAAGACTTTGTAAAATATCAGAAGATTATTCAAGTGTACATTTACAGAAGTTTACACGTTATATACAGCTCACAAACCCAAGCTAACTGCTACTAACTACTAACCGTAATGAATAACAAACTAACAACCTTAACAGTCAGCTAACAACTAAGACTAACAAGTTACAGCCACCCAAGCACACCATCACAGTAGCTGCACCTTAGATATACTTAATATTCTCGCCACTTTTTCCTTTTCCCCCGAGAAATGACTGCACATTGACCTTTGCACGAAAGAGTTCAAACTATGTTGTTAACAAGGGCTTGGTCAAGCCATCAGCAACTTGATTATCACCAACAATCCTATATTGTTTCAGTGGTAGCATCAACAACAATCCTATATTCAAGCCTCTGCAAGGAGTGCACTCACATATGTTGTTTCAGTGGTAGCATCAACAACAATCCTATATTCAACCTCCATGGTGGATCGAGAGACATTATTTTATTTTTTCGAACTCCACATAACTAGATTATCACCAACAAAAACACAATTACATGTGATAGACTTTCGATCATCCGTATTGCCACCCCAATTAGCATTAACAAAAAGCACAACATGTAGTCCTGCTACAGCTGAAGCTATAACAAGACCATGGTTAAGTGTACCAACCAAATACCGTATAATTCATTTAACAGTTACAAAATACTTATGTCTTGGTGCATGCATATATTGTGCCACCTTGTTAACATTAAATGAGATATCTGGACGTGTATGGAAGACATATAGAAGTGCCTCTACAATACTACGATATTCATACGTGTCAGAGAGTAGATCACCAGCATCATGTGTAATTTTCAATGTCACTAGCATTGGAGTGGACACAACCCTAGCATTGTGCATCTTGGTTTTCTTCAACAACTCCAAGATGAACTTGCGTTGACTAAGAATCAACGCCTCACCACACCGTTTAACCTCAATGCCAAGGAAGAATCTAAGCTCACCAAGATCCTTTAGAGCAATCTCATCGCCCAACAGTTTCACAACTTCTTCAATCTAAGCATTTGACTCACCTGTTATTACTATATCATCCACATAAACCAAAATATACACACACATCCCTTGAACACATCATATGAACAACGAGGTATCTCTCTTGGACTCGTTAAACCCTATATACAACAAGCAATATTTAACTTTGCATGCCAGCTCCAAGGTGTTACCTCAAGCTATACAAGGCCTTCTGAAGTTTACAAACCAACACAGTACCATCAGGAGCCCTCTGTTCAAATCCAGGTGGTTGCTGTATGAATACATCATCGCGCAAATCTCCATGCAAAAATACATTATTCACATTTGCCTCACGCAACTGCCAACCCCTTGTTACAACTATGGACAAAATTACATTAAGTTTAGCAAACTTAATTACAAGACTAAAGGTTTCATTGAAGTTATGACCTGGAACCTGAGAGTACTATATTGCTACAAGTCGTGCCTTGTATCGACTGATGGACCAATCTGTGTTCTTTTTCAACTTAAACAACCACTTGTTGCCCACCACTGACCTTCCTTCAGGCAATGGAACAAGTGACCACGTACAATTTTTCCTCAAGGCTTCAAGTTCTACATACACAATATTCTTCCAATATGGAGACTGAAGAGCCTCATGCACATTAACAGGTTTAATTGTATCATAAGTAAAAGAATACACCTTGGGCTTGAAAACACCATATTTACTTATCGTAAGCGTTGGATGATGATTCACCATAGCCTCAACATCACTTCTTGCATTTGAATCTACACACTCACGTGTATTCAACTCTTCACTATAATGCTCAACATCACCACCATCAGTTGTAACATTCTGATCAACCTCAAAATTTAAGCTTGAGGACTCACCCTCAACTACCCCAGTCACATCTTTATGAACTAAGTCCTCCATCAAACTAGTGGTAACTGGCTCAACACACACATCATCACTACAAACTTGCAACTTGATAACATCTGCAACAAGCTCAAGAGACCTTGATTTTGGAAGAATAACACTAGATGCCACAGGAGGAGCAGTAGAACTTGTGAGTGAAAAAGCTGACTCATCAAAGACCACATGCATAGATATATAAACTCTTCCATTAGTAGCTAAGCACATATAGCCTTTATGTTGTGGGTTGTATCCTAAAAAAATATATGGTTGAGACCTGAATTCTAGCTTATGTCTCTGAAATACTCGTAAATATGGAAAATACTTGCATTCAAACACCCTCATCAACTCATATTCAGGTTTCTTCCCCCAAAACTTTTCAAGAAGAGACATCTCATCTAACACCTTTGTTGGAAGATGATTAATGATGTATACAACAATAACTGCAGCATATTACCAAAATTGCAGAGGCATTGTAGCCTGAGCCAAGTGTACCAAAGCCAACTCAATAATGTGTCTGTGCTTCCTCTCAACTACACCATTCTGTTTAAAAGTATGTGGGCAGACTACTCGGTGGTTGATACCATCCTTAGCTAAAATAGAAAATAGACTTCTATATTCACCACCCCAATCACTCTGAACATCTTTGATAGCCACACCAAACTAAGTCAAAACCATTTGCTGAAACAGTTTAAAGACAATCACAGTCTGGGACCTATATGTTAAGAAGTGCACCCAAGAATGCCTAGAATATGCATCAACAAACGATAAATAGTAGTGATAACCATTGGACACCACATTAGTCGGTCCCTAAATATCAGTGAAAACAAACTAAAAATGTGCAGTATACACAGTAGTATATTCAACAAAAGGTAATTTATGGTTTTTACCAATGCAACAAGCTTCACACATATTATTCATATCCTTAGAAAGCATTACATCAAGTGTTTTACAAACATGAGCAACAATACTATATGTGGCATAGCTAATCTGCGATGCCAAAGTTTGAAACTATTTGCAGCAACAACTGAATGTGCAGAAGCATTTCTACAAGCACCTGGAACTCGATCTCCTGAGAAAACATATAAATCACCTTCAACACGACCACACAGTAGGACGTATTTAGTAGTAGCATCATGAACATAGCGCTCATGAGCATGAAACTCAAAGTACACACCATTATCCCTCGCAAACTTAGACACCGAAAAAAGATTATGTGTTATTAGAGGCACATGAAGCAAATCATTTAGCAACAAAGACCTAGTTGGTATTACTAAGGTAACATCACCAACCATATCAATATGTAAAGAAACACCATCACCAACCGTAAGCTTACCTGGACCACCATACTCTACCCGATGAGTGATATTACCAGACTTTAGGGTCACATGGTGAGTAGCTTAAGAGTCCACCACCCATTCATCTTGAGTAGTGCCAGAAGCCAGGTGATCATAAGAAGAGCCTTCTGTCACCGACTGAAATCGAGAACTACTCGAACAACACTCACAACCAAAATTATCATAAGAGACATTATTAGCGTTGGCCGAGTCACCCGTGTAATGAGATTGACTGGTATTACAAGACACAATATGAAAATTCTCATAATATCGATGTTGTCACCTGTCAACAACATGACACAGTTTCCCACACAGCTGACACGCGATCTTTTACATCCACGAGCACTCATACCACCAGATCTAGCTCCAGAATACGAGGGTTGATGAGATCGATGATGATGCGAATAAGAGTGCGATCCAATCTTAAAAGAATCCAAGTCACAAGCAACATGACCATTTACCAAGACCACATCTTCTTAGCAGTAAACCCTACTAATTGAGTTTCAACATCAATGAAAATTGTACAAACTTTTTCCAAAGAAAGAGACTCCCCACTAGTAGTAATTACTGCCATGAAGGGTTGATACTCCTGGGGTAATCCTTTCAGAATGCTTGCCACCTGACCAACCGTGGGAACAACACTTCCACAAGATGCCAAAGCATCACAAGTTTCTTTAACTCAGGACAAATACACCCGCATACTATCTTCACCTTTCTTGATAGACTGCACTTGCAATGAAGATTCATAACTGCATTTAATGATCTGGTGGTAAAGAACTGTAGCATTGTATTCCAGATTGCAGAAGCAATCTCTGCTCCAACAAACTGAGAAATCAAATGAGTACTAATGGTTGACAACAACCAAGAAGCCAACACACTGTCTTTGGCAACAAAGTCCTCATAATCTTCATTCGGAACCATTGCACCATGTTCATAAGCAACTAATTCAGATGGAGGCTTCATCACACCAGTGAGTAACCATTCAAGACGATAACTCCGAACGATAAGCAACACTTGTTGTTTCCACAACAAAGAATTCATCTCGTCAAGCACAACATTAATCTTTTTGTTTGTAAACACTTTGATTCTACTCAAAGAAGGAAAAGCTTCACCAAAATACATGATCAAGCCACAGAAGCGAAAGAAAGATCACCAGGATCTTTGGCGATTGATACCATGTTGAGAAACTAGAGACTTTGTAAAATATCAGAAGAATATTCAAGTGCACATTTATTGAAGTTTACAAGTTATATACAGCTCACAAACCCAAACTAATTGCTACTAACTGCTAACTGTAATGAATAACAAACTAACAACCTTAACAGTCAACTAACAACTAAGACTAACAAGTTACAACCACCCAAGCACACCATCACAGCAGTTGCACCTTAGCTATACTTAACATTATTAATTTTAAAATTTTTAAAATAATGTTTCATAATTTTCAAAAAAAAAAAAATTTATTATTTTATTAATTTTTAAAATATTTTAACACTTTTATATTTTTAAATAAATATTTAAATTAAATTAAAATTAAAATCTTTGAAAATGTCATACGGTAACACCATGGTGTGTCTTGTGGTAGCGATAACCCTAAAATATTAAGATTTAATAGTCAAAAGTGATCAAATTATGACTAAACTATTAAGCTTTAATGATCAAAATTGATAAAAATATTGAAATAATTTATTTATTATTATTTTTTGGTGTGTAAAGAAAAAAACCTTAATAATTATTTTATTCTAACATCCTCTTGTAAGAATGTCTTCACCTCCTATAGTGGCAGTAAAAGAAATCTTGTTTCGGCAACTTCAACGCTTGTACTCTTGGTTAACCTATCGGTCACCTTGTTGCTTGTCCTGTGGATAAGTTGAATTCGCACCTCACTCATCTTATAGATCAATTCTACTATCATATTCCACTAAAGGTTAATTTTTTTTATTTAAAAGTCTATTTTTTTATTAAAAAAATGAGGATTTTTTATCCTTAAACTAAGAAAAAATTAGAAAAGAGATTAAAAATTTATTAAAAATAAAAAATGATTAATTTAAATTAATGAAGGAAAATAAATTTTACTTTTCTCATTTTACTGAAAATTAAAAAAAATATATTAGTTTAAACTATTTTCTCAATTTTGGCTTTTTTTTCCAAAATAAATCAAAATATTAAAAAAACATAAAAGAAATTCTGACGACTTATATTATCTTGTATTATTAGGTATTATCGGACTGTAAATTTTAGAAATTTGGAAGTGAAAAAACAATTAGAGTAAAATCAACGTAAAATAAAATACACGTAAGAGACAAAATTTAACATAATTCAACTTTGTTTATCTCTACGAGTGAAGATAACAGCAACTCATTATAATTTATAATCGTAAAGATCTCAAAGAGTGCAAATACATAATATCCTACATACCCCAAAATTCAGTGTGCATACCAAAATATGATGCATCTTAAAACACTCACATCATCCTTACATATTACATCAATGCAATATAAACCTCAAAAGTTTTAGAGACTACAAAAAAAATTACATCTCTCTAAAATAGTTATCTCATACTTGGTCACTAATAATTCTTGTGGAATAAGAATTATTAATAAATAAACTTAATCACCAAGTAATCTTCAACGAGTAGAATTTCAACCAAAATCAATTTAATTTTGAATTAGAATTTGACTCAATATCTAACAATTTCTCCATTGACACAAATTATATTAGACAATTTTTTAACAATTTCAATTCTTACATAAATTAACAGTAATAGATTTAAAATTGGACTCAATATCTAACAATTTCTCCATTGAAGTACTATTGGATAGATTTAGAATTACTCCTCTATAACTAAAAACTAATTACATTAATTCTTACATAGTCATTGCAACTTTTGGAGTTTACGTTTCAGAGATAGTTTTGTAAGGATGCTGGGAGAGTATTTCAGGATACACAGAATTTTGGACACATTGAGTTTTGAGATACATGGGATATCATGTATTTATACTCTTCACAATTTCTATGGTTGAAGGATTATTGTTATTCTCTTCCGGGAATGATTATTGTTATAGTGATATTTGAGATATTAAAATTATATTTTTTTTATAAAATGTTTTTTAATATTTATAAAATCTAGCTAAATTATAATACGATACCATAAATATATTTAATATATAGAACACATACACCCTTTATTTTAACAAAAAAAAATATACACACATAATTACATAGTTTAATAGCTTTATTATACACAATAAATTTTAAAATTTATCATTTCATTATATAAAATAATTTTTAAAAGTTATCATTGCCAAAAAAGCAGAAAAGAATGATATTGTTTTTAAAAAATTTAAAAACAAAATAATAAAAACATAATTTTTACTGGAAATAATTTTTTAATAAAAATAAATGAGCATGATTGGCATTTACAAGTGAGTTTTTGGACTTGATTTATGAAGCAAAACAAATACATGTTTTTCGGTGAATTAGAGTAAGGGCTTTCAAATCGACTTTAGATTTGTGGGACACCAATTTGCATGGACCAAGTTTTAGCAACGAAGGTTAGAGATCACATTTGTAGGGCTTTAGAAGAGGGGGCAGGATGGACCAAATCTTGAACCATAAGCTACAAAATGTTGTGTCAATGTGGAACCAATGTGGCATTGAATTAATTGAAACATTTCATTGTCCTATATATCAACCTAGTAGCGGTCCAAGGTTTAACAAGGAAATCCCATGCCCTGATTTTCTCCTACTCCAAACTCTAATGTACTGGCCATCAAGAATTGCTTGCATATACAAGCCAAGCTATCTATCCTCTGCCTTGGACCATTTCCTTCACAAAACCTTCGGGATTGCATT